CAAGCTTATTCCTCTCTGCATTAATCACATCACTGTCTTTACACATGTCTTTAATGCTTTTAATGACTTTGCACAGTGGTTAATAAGCTAAGAAGTAAAAAAAACAGGGTTGTCAGAAGGCAGAAATTAAACTTTTTTAAATATAACTGGTGGGGTACAGCAATCAGATTTTCCAGAATTTGAGGAGGCAGGGCCTTAAAAGATGGTAGAGAATGGTTCCCACACATTTAAGCCGAGCTGACATTTTGGTAAAATCCAGACTTCATTAGGTCCCACGAGGCGTTTCCTATTACACAGTGCACATGTTCTGTGACTGAGTGTCAGGAGCTGGTCTAACTCCAGGCCTCTGCTACCTTCAGGGGACACGGGAATCATGGGAAGGACTGAGATGCAGAAAATGGAAATGCAGCTCATTCAAGCATATAACAGCAAAATAACAAAAACACTCCAGGCTCATACAATACACATATATGTTAGTAAAGAACTGAGTTTTTGAGGAGCCTGGCCCGAGATAAACAAGTAGATAGTCTTCCCAAACTGTTTTTTTTTCCTTATCACATTTAACTTAAAATGCCCCTTTTCACAAATGATTCCTTCCATTTTAATAATGTGCATTTCAGCACTTTGTTATTGCCCTCTGCTGATCGATATTGATACCATCTTTCAGACCAACTGAAATCTGTTACCTGCTTCTCTACTTTAACACACAGCACACTTGGGACCTGGTGACTGGCTTCAATTGTCCAAGCAAACTGGCATTTAACTTCCTAGTTGAATTTCAGGTAACCTCCCATGAATCACCTGTCCAGACGTATTAGGTCCCAAAACGATTTCTATTTTATTATGCCTGAATGTGACTGTGCAGTGAGATAATTGCTAAGGTTTCATTTTTTTTTGTTTTCAATATTCTTAAATTAAGTCCTTTGTTAAATTCCCAAAGCTCTATTACAATGACGGATATATAAATTGGCATAACAGAGTGTTCACATTAAAAAGGAAATCTAAAATTAAGATCCAAAATGTGTACAGCGAATGCGATTTTGCCTGGGAGTGTCTACTATTACGACAAATGTTGAAACACTATAGGTCAAACAAACATTACTGTTCTACTTTAGGAATTTTCAACCGTCAGTAAGTTCAAAAAGTTTTGAAGCCGGTGATTCATCCCACAGATCAATCACTGAACAGTTAATCTACTTAAATCCTGTGATTTGAGGGAGACACAGAGACACATGAGTGACCAATGAGTCACACACATACTATCTGAGCTTGTGACACCTTGGTGCTAGGCTCCTGCCTTTCGACATTCAGAGTACAATAAACAGACACTCTTAATACACTGTACAACAGCAGAGCTTTTCTTTTTCGCAAGGTCTTTGCAATACAGATTAAGTTCTCGACGTTGTTTTACAATATTAACTCTAAAGTCTTACATAACCCACTTGCTGACATTTTAGCAGAGCACAAAGGAACACAAAGGAAAAATGGAAATTGCTCAGTTAGAGTATATGGCCATTCAAGCTCACTCATATGGCATAATCTAAATCAGCCTCTGTCACAATCCAATTAATCCAATTAATTTCTGAAAGACTCTTGAAACAATGTAAAAAATGTTTAAACAATCCAGTAAATAAAGCTCAAAGTTACAAGTATTAGCTCCTACTCTCTTTAGAGTGTTTTTACGTGATGCAAATATACCGACCTTAGCTACTCTGATGTCATGTAAATGGAAAGGGTGAGGTTTCCATAGCTGGCTCTCATTATGAGACTCAGGCCCAAACTGAACCGAGCTGGGCTCTGTGCAGCAGCACTGATATGAAGAATGAGTGCACTCAGCTTGATTTGGAAAGAACCCACAGTCGCAAAGCTAATCACTTGTTTCTAAAATTAAAACAGTCTTTGAAGGGAGCTTTCTGCAAAGAAATGAGGGAGAGCATAACTAGGACATATGACATTCTTAACTCAAAACAGTCACTCAGTGCAAGTGGGCAGACCGTTTCTCTATGAAAGAAATTTACACCACTCCCACTGTAACCTTCAGTTGTTAACTCTCCAAATTGCTCTTCGTTACTGGTAACTGAAATCGTTCACAACAGCACTGTTTTGTGGTCGTTCAACCTTTCTCAACTAATACTGTTCCACATCCAGATTGTAACCATCAGTTTTCCTTTTATCCCTGTAAAACACTTTGGTGTTGCAGACAGTTGCTTTTTATATCTAATCCATTTCATCTACAGGTTTGGCATTACATGTTCAAATTAAGAAGATGGGCTACTTAACTTTAAAAGGCTATTAGTTACAGTGATCAATATAAAGTGCCTGTTATCTCTTAAAAGCAATTTCCTCTATGTGTTACTTATTTTTAAGAAGTAATCCCTAAACTGTAATGGGCTACTTTTTAAAAGTAACGTTCCTTAGTATCAGTCTTTTCTGTCTTTCTCAGAATGCTTTTAATTGTGTTTTACATTTGGTTCTTTCCCTTAAACACCTAAAAATTATCTTGTATCAATTGGTATGCTACATAAAAGTCTAGTTTACCCCCCAAAAAACCCAAATCTAGTAACAAATGGAGCCACCGAAAAACGAGAATTGTATACATAACAAAAAATAAAACGCATATATGTCTGCAAGTATAAATCTCAGAGGCTCTTGAAGAAAGTGGTTCACAGGGTCAATCCTCTCCGTATATTCAGTACACTCAGTATTCAGGAGCCTCAGGCAAACCGTGTTGTGCAATTTGATCGGAGAACAATCTGAATAAATTGGTAGATATGGGCCCGGGAACGAGGTGTCAGAAACGTCAGAACTAGAGCAGAATAATCCAAGGAGCTGCTGGGAAAAAAAAAGCCTGCTTTCTCCCCATATTGAGGCCTCTCTCCTGAACATAATAAAAGTGGAATTACAAGGAAGAAAAACTGAGGATCACTCCGATTAGAAAGTAAGAAGAAAAATCTTAAATTGCCCTCCTGGGGTGAATAAAGCATTTTGATCTGAACTGCAATCTGCACCCAAGCCCCGCAGGCTCACCAGGGTAAAATGTGACTCAGCTCGTGTAGCAGGAGGAGGTGGCACACGGGACTTCCCCCAAGGATGAAGTGCTGATTCATCCCAGGGATTACCTACCCCCCGGCAATTCCTCTAACCCTTCCACAGAGCCAGGTGGACGGGAGAAGTGGTTTGCTCGGGGGTAAAACCACAGTGTTTGAAGCAAAAAAAAAAATGCATTATTGCCCTGGAATCAACCCAGAGAAGAGCAACCAGAAGCAATTCCCGGGCATAAAGGAATGTCCCACAACAGAAGACGAGAAGGACTGAACCTTCTCAGGCCTGAGCAGAGAGGACTTTGAGGACACCTGGCTTCTTTCAAGAAACAGCTGGGAGAAATCCTCAGATTAATTAGGTACAATTCATTATTGATTATCCAAAACGGGCTAGATCATTAGGACTCCAGAGTTCTTGTTGCTCCTTATGCTGCCCCTCTTTTTGATTATAAGGCAGAGTTTATATGTAGATCTTCATTTATTGTCCTGATGTGCAAACAGGGGGAGGTGTTATGATTTTGTCAGCTTTGTTTTCTTGACATCAAATCCTCAAGTAAAGGAAAGACGTTGTAAAAGTCTCTTGAGGACATACAGTGGGTAATGCCAATATACTGTACTTCACTTCATTCAGCTTTGACAAACCTTGACAAAGAAAGCTTGGCAAATGATCCAAACTGAAACAGCAGTGTACTCCACAGAAAACATTTGAAATCATGGCACTGAATACTGGTATGATATTGATGACACAAAGTATTTCTTAAAGCCCTGTTGTAATTTTGAAATGACCAAAAACATGCTTTGCTTTATATTCTTGGAGTGTTTAGAGCCCTTTTCAAATTGAAAGATTTTTTTAAAAGAAACGCACTGTAACCAGCTACAGTACTAATCTGTAGCGTTTTCTCTGGCAGAATGCTGGAGCATTCTAATCCACATTCAGGGCTGCAGCTCAGCTGATCTCCAAACGGAAACATTTCACAGAGGGTCCCGAAACACCCTGTATAGCTTCTTCTAAAGCGAATGAGCCTTGTAACCCTGATCAGAGCAAACACTTAAGAATACACGGGGAGGTGTATTACTGTTTTTTCAGACGCTTTAAAGCAAATGGGGTTTATGTAAATATCCCTTTAACTGCCCCCAAATCCACAAGTTACATTCACGACATACTACGCTTACCCACACAATCCGAAAGGAAGGGATCAGACGAATGTGATTGTGTGTACTTCTCCTCTTGCTCCTCTGCTATTGCTTTATCGTGTGGTGTTTGTTAACTTTTGAATACATTTTAAGCAGTGCACCTTCACCTTATGTAAACACCCCAGCTTCATAGTTTATAAAAAAACGTCCGCTCCCTCATACCTCAGCTCAGTCGTGAACTCATTTATAGGCATTAAGAGAGGCATTCAAATTGCAACAAAGGCGGTTGGTTTCAGGGCAGCAGGGTAGAGCAGGGGTTAGCCCTGCTGCTTTGGAGCGCAGGGGCCCTGGGTTCAATTACAGACCTGGAGCGCTATCTGTGTACGCTCTCCACATGCTCGTGTGTGGCGCTCTGGTTTCCCTCCACAGTCCAAACACAGACCGTTACGTTAACTGGCTGCTGAGAAAAAACTGGCCCTGGCGTAAGTTTGTGTGTCTGTCTGTCTGTGTGTGTGTGTGTGCGCGCCCTGCGATGGACTGGCATCCCATACAGGGTGCACCCTGCCCTGAGCCCGCTGCTTCCCGGGATAGGTTCCAGCTCCACCTGCGACCCAGTGCTGCATAAAGCGATCAGGAAATGGATGGATGGCTATCGGTTCCCACATTCCTTTGTTATGACTTAAACACCTCTCCGATAAGCGCTCCAGACTCCTGATCTTCGCAGACGATTCTAGCTGGTGTTCCACCTCCGCCCAGCCCCACGTCAATAGCGACCCGCGCTTCGTACCAGTAACCAGCCAGCAGTGGCTCCAGATTAAATCATACCTGAACAATTTCCAGCATTTCCGACTTGCTAATGTAGCCGTTCCCATCCAGGTCGTACATGCTGAAGGCCCACTTCAGTTTCTGCTCCAGCTTCCCCCGGGAGGTGACGCTGAGCGCGATGATGAATTCTCTGAAGTCGATCGTCCCGTCTCCGTTCGCGTCAAACGTGCGGAAGACGTGCTCCGCGAACTTGGACGCGTCCCCGTAGGGGAAGAAGTTCCCGTATATTTTCTTAAACTCCTCCATGGACAGGTTCCCGCTGGGGCAGTCCCTGAGGAAGCCCTTGTACCACTCCTGGATCTCGTGCTCGGTGAAGTCCGTGCTCTCCAGCAAATCCTGCATGACCTCGGGGCGCAGTTTGCTGTTCTGCTTCCCCATCTCGGCGTCTGGGTTTCAGCTGCGAAGACAGACACACGCTTATAAGAAGAAGAAAAGGGCATTCGTGGGCTGATTTCAAACAACTGCGACATCCACTGCGTCAGACACTTCATCTCTGAGTCACGCCGTAAGCGGCACCCGAGCTTTTCAAACCCAACCACAGGGTTATTTTTATTAGGGCACCTGAGCAGAGACCTCGGCGGTTTCCAAACAAAAGTCCTCTCATCACGAAACTTTCCGCCAGGCTCATCATATAGCAATCAGCCGAGGTGAATGGTCTTATTGACAGTCTGCAGACTTGGGTGAGCTTTTCATTGTGTGCATTAACGTGAAAGAAGTGGCAACCCTAAAAAAATAAAACCACAAAGATTTTCTCCCACAGCTTCTACATTACTAAATTAAGTTCTGCATTTTGAAGAACAACATCCTTGAGGCCACTTTTTTCTTCTGGAATTGGAAACACGCGTCTTTGGACCTGCAAATCTTTTGCATTGAAAAACGATTTCTGTTTCATCTAAGCCTGTAGACGTGTCTAAGCCTCTGAGTCGTACATTAAAGGAAGAGATTAATTCCACAGAAACAGAGGGGCAGCTGGAGCCTGCAGACAAGGGATCAGAGAACTACTGGCTCTCTGCCAGTGTATGCAAAACTGTTAAGAGGTTTCTACAGGTACTGATATTCCTGCCTTATCTCATTAATAATTTAAGCTTTTCATTAGAGGACAAATTATTCCCATCATTGCAATAATTAAACTGATCAGAAAAAAAAGTTTAATTTATTAGCTCATCATTAGCTAGGATTTTTTTCAGCCTGCAAAAAAAAATATTTCATTTCAGTGTATTGCTGGTATCACAGAATACATCACATTGGCCTCATATGAACCTGTGACCATCATGCCCTTTATGATCTTTCATTTACCTCATGGTTGGACCACCAAACTCTGATCCAGATGAAAAACCTGACAACTGGCAATGCTGCAAGGCATGACAATTGTACGAGATTCATAATCTGCTAGAGGCAAAGTCGAAACCACTGAACTAATTTCTCTTTCAGTTTGGCAGCAAATTAACTGTTTCACTCTTCAGAGTTGCAGAGGTGAAGAAACTAAAACTGTAATTCATTCATGCTCAGTCAGGAAGTAATTTAGAAGATGGCAAGAAATGATCGTTCACTTTCATCTGGAAACATTTAAGTTGTTTTTACTAAAGAGTGAAGAAATTCTAATCAGCTATATTCTGCAGAACATGACTGATACTTTTTGAAAGCGGACAAAATATTAACAGTATTAAAAAAAGAGGGACAAGCTATATTTCTGGGACCTCAGCACGGTTCCATTCTATAGATACAGTTGGAGTCAAAACTATATTGCCAATGATTAGTAGTAGGTGCTAAGAAAAGGTCATGTCCCATTTTCAGAAGTGGTTTAAAGTGCAGATGTATATCTTTTCAGGCAGAATTATATCTGTTCTGTGCCTGAGTTAACAAAGAGTCTGTTTAATGTCAGCAGTGCACTGACAGCCTCTAAAATCCCCTTTAAACAGGAAGTTCCTATCACTCCAGCTTGGGTTAGCTGTTTCAACACTAATTAGACACGTCTGCACAAAAATAGTTTTTAAAACTAAACCTAATGTTAAATTAATCACACTATTTCATAACAAGGAACTGGGTGACCTGCTCTAATGGGTTGCTGGGAATTTCAACTCGGGTGATTTTAGATATCCGATTCTTTGAGCTGTTCCTCAGTGTTTCAATTCTGCCTTTGAAAAAAGCTTATTATTTCAAGGTGTTTCTAAAGGTTTTAAAAACTGCAAAACACATGGAAGGACCAGGGAAAGAATGAACGTTTACAATTTACTAAACAAAACAAATGAAGCTATACATACCCATATACTGTATGCATGACATGTTTAATTCATAAAACTCTGACAGTGCAGATCATTTAAAAAAGGCAGGGGAAGCGTTAAACTAAAATGTCATTTTAACCTTATCACTCTGATGATGCACTGTTGGGTTAATCTTTAGATCTGCTTGTATGCCAGTCTCATCAGATTGTCAGTGGTTAGCAAACGATTAGCTATGAACTGAGGGCAAGAAATACATCAATGCATGAAATATGTACTGAACTGACAGCATCTAATCTGTACAGCAATGCATAAAAGGAAATTGTAGTACTTTGTCAGACAATGCAAATGTTTGCTCCTCCTAAATTGCCTGGGAAATGAGAACCTTCCAAGATGGAAAAACAGCCATTCAGCCATTAAAGTGTATAAATCTCATTTCAATCTAAATCTCATATATATTTTTGCTGAAGCAATTGTAATCGTTAAGTCAATAAGATGCAATTAAAGAGTATGTAGTTTTCCAGTCTAACAAACATTTTTCGCACAAGCCTTTGAATTTCTTGATAGCAGGCATACGACATCAAGCTGTCTACTCATAATGCACGATGCCCCCACTCCAGCCAGCCCTGCAGATTCACGTAAGAAAGTGCAACTGTATACTATTATTGGTATCCTGATTCTGATTCACTGCAACTTTGATCTTCCGATCTTCCACGCCGAGCTTTGTTGCTGACGTGTCTCCGTCAGGCACAGCCAGCAAATCCTCTGCCAGCAGTTTGAAAAGAACGTTCCCTGGAAAATGGCCAAACAACCGTTGTGGGCCAGAGAACTCGTTTTTAAAATGTGTGCCCTTTTGACATTATAACTCAAAGGTTTGTAGGAACAACAGAAATTAAATCGGCCGGCTTGTTGTACCATCCTACTGGCTACTGGAACTCATCATGATGCTGACAGCAAAAATCATAATGGGCAGAGTTCTTAATACCTCTTTGTACATGACCAGAACAGCCCACGACACTGACTTCAATAGCCATAATCAAGGTATTCACAGCGTAGAGCAGCCATATAAAAAAACACCTGTGGTAAAAATGCAAAAGAGTTTTAAAAAGCATGTTATGCACAGGGCCTAAGCCTAAGCCTGAAACAGGAAACATTTGACTTTTGTCAAAAAAAACCTTTTTGTGAAAACGGATGTGATCAAAGATGCAGCATGAAGGAGATACACAATCACTGGTCAAATGCACGGATTGTTAGGACAGCTGCAGTGACACTGACAACTAATTCCTACAGGAAATGTTCCTAAGTATTTTCAAAAGACTTGGGGATTGACTCAAGAGAAACAGACACCTCTCTGTTAATACCTAGAACTAATATGAATCACCACTCAGGAAAAAAGCCAAACACTTTCAAGTTTAATGAGTTCAGTGGAAAAACAGAAAGGAACTCTTTCACAAATTTCACTTAATATACAATGTTAAGTATCAATATAAAAGTTGTTTGAGTTTACCATATAATGGAGAGAACGTAATTTCGAATATCAGCACAACTACATTAAGTTGCATTTGTGATGAATTCCTGCTACCTTACTTAACCTTTCCAGTGTTCCATCCAAATGATTTAATGATTCAATAGAGTGATCAATGATATTATAAATGACACTTGGAGGATGAATATTACGATAAAAACTACACAAAACTACGCATGATAACTGCAATCCCTGTAAAAAATGTATTCAAAACAAATCAATCCCAGTTACCTCACACATGCTGCACTACCAGAATCAATTTAGTTGACACCTGTTTAATTTTTCTGCACTACAATTAGAATAAAAAAAGAAAAGTTGCCAGACTCCTTTTGTTTCCATCACATTGTCTGCGATATGGTGGTTTTCTCAATGACGGCCGACTGCAAGGCCCATAGTGATGTTAATTTTGGACGAATAGATTATCCACAGAATTAGTGAGGTGTGAGTGTGCTGCCTCCTTTTCAAATTGAAATCAATAAAAAAAACAAAAAAAACAAAACAAACTACGTTCGGGTTTTGAAGAGGGAACGCTTCCCAGAATATCCGGATTGGAAATGAACTCGCCATTTGATATTTAGATTTCAGGAGCAGTTTCAGTCTCCCATCTTCGGATGCTCTTTCGGTTTCACTGGCCTGTCTTGGACACGGAGATTCACCCCCTGTGAGTGTACACGATGTTGCCATGGAGACCCTTAGGAGGGCATTTCACAGCACCACTGAGCAGTCTTACAAAAAAGCATTAGCCAGGGTCGAACAGATCAACACTACTGCCTCAATAAAAAAAAACAAAAGTCAATGCAACGGGTTTAAAAAAATCCAGACCTCCTGTTAAATAAGGAGAAAACTGTGTTGTGACATGTCCTGTAAAACGCACATACCCTGAGACACTGCATTGGTGTGTGAGAGAGAGAGAGAGAGAGAGTCTTTATTATGGACCATTAGTCAGAGATTCAACCATGGCAAACTGTGGCCATCTCACTCCTCCCCCTGTATGAACACAAGTGTGAATGTTTCGTTAAAAAGCCATCCACGAGATGCGAGTGAGAGAATCCGTGTTTTGAAAGTAGCAGTGAGACGAGGTGGAAGGGTCACGCGGGCGACCAGGACCCCCTCAGCGCTGGCCAGATGGACAGGTGGCCTGGACGAGGGACCAGAGGGGGGGATGGGAGGCCTCTGGAGAGCTGCTGACCCAGGGCCTCCTGTCTGCACTGACAGCTGACCTGCTGGGGAGGGGATGCAGCTGCTCTGGGATCTCTCTGGCAGTCAGGGGAGGGAGCTGCACGGGCAGGGGGCGAGGCGATCAGACAGGTGGGAACCATGTTGCGGGGTCATCGCTGCCATCGGCTTGTCACCACCTCCACGCGCCAACACTCTCAAAGCCACAGGGCGGGTCAAGTTAAATTTACTGTTCAGATAATGTCCGAAAGACGCCGAGGCGGTCAGCTAATCTGGCGATCAAGGGATTGACCGCTTTATTTTTCTCAACAATGCATGGACACTGCCTTCCACGCAATTCACTCTTCATCACAGCGGAATGATTAGCATTCCTGCACGGCCCAGTGCTGGGATTAATTTGTCTCTCTAAAACTGGGGTGTGCAATGTGATCTCATGACCTTTTTAAGGCTTGGTAAAAAACAAACACCACCACCACA